CCAGAAATCCTTGAAATCATGGCTCTATATTTCATAATCACACCATCTTTCACCTCGATCTGCTGATGTAGTACTAGTTCCGGCTGAAACTATTAAATCATTCGCAATTTACCTCATACATGTTGGATTATTTTCATTAGTAGCAACATTCCGAAAAATAACTGAGGAGGTCCGCTTTTAGGCTGGCCTAAATCTATATATTACGATCGTTGATTAAGGCCTCGTCCACACTAAGCCAGAGAAATTTGAAAACGAATCAATCACCGGTCAGTTTGGATTTGTGTTTGAGGAAAACTCGGACAGGGAAATCATATGATAATCGTGACGTCATTGTTTCCAAAAGCTCCGTTTGCAAAATGTTTTCCGTCCATACTAAACCAAAATGCCGGCGTTTTCAAACTCCTCTTATTTGAAGAGCGTTTTCTTGACGGATTAGAGTGGATGTTAGGCCTAACCGTGGAAAAATAAAGCTGCGATTCTTAATTTATCCTGTGAAGTGTGGACGGGGCATAAGAAATGGTCGATTGGCTCGTCCGTTTTTAACGGTAACCTGTAACAGATCAATAAAAATTTGTTTATGTTTACATTATCTTTAGGAGTGTTGACACCATAATAATGGCAGCTACAGTGGATCCAAGGCCGAAAAAATTGCAGCAAAATGCCGTCCTTAAGTTCAAGAACCTAGAGGTAACAAGAAAAAGCTCTTATGAATAAAGGAAGTGATCCTTTCAATTTAAGTTAGTTATGATTACATGTACATTCAGAAGTGCCCCAAGCTCGCAGGTGAGCGTCCCTGTATATGCAGTAGTAGTACTGAGATTAAGCAGCAGTCGAAATGTAAGCATTAATATTGAAAATTTTTAAATTTTTAAGCTTAAAAAATGTGGAGGAGTATAAGTAAAACATTACTGCTGCGTTGGTATGCGCTTTTTCTGTAATGTTTAATTTGTAAAACCTGACCAGCTCTATTTTCAGGTTGCTGAAGGCGAGAGATTCTGTATGTTCTGGAGCGGCTACAGCGAAAAGAAGTGAGGATCAAGTTATAATTAATTTAACGTGCTTTAATGGCAATGTCTGCATCGGATCTTATATATCCATTTCAATTCAAAAAATGTTTCAAGTTTTCAATTCATTCAACTTGGTGTTGTTGTTTCTGTTGTTTTGATGGTGTTGGTGCTCTCGTGTTGCTGCTGCCGTTAACTTTGTTGCTGCTCTTGTTGATGTTGGATTTGTTGTTGTTTTTGTTGTCAGCTATTGTGGTTGTGATGATGATTACGATGATGATGATAATGTTAATGACGATAACATTGACTTTGACGTTGACGTTGACGTTGACGTTGACGTTGACGTTGACGTTGACGTTGACGTTGACGTTGACGATGACGATGACGATGACGATCAGGATCAAGATGAAATATGACCATTATTATTCTCCAACCCAAAAAGAGATTTCATCTCAGTAAGGTTAAGCATAGCAACGCGAACCGATCCATTGTCAAATTCAAACGATAACTTCTCGCAGTCTGAATTCACGAATGAAAGCAGAAAAAGTAATATTGTTTTTCCACATCAAGAGTGCCTTTCTGTAAGACCAACATTTTGCTGCACTGTTTTCTTAGCCCTTAATTTCAAGCAGCCAGTATTCCTGCTGAGTTGTTTGATTATCTAGCTAAATTCATGTAGTAAATGTTGGATGCCATTGATGTATAGTGTGCAGTACTGGTGTCATTTTTGTTAAATACCTGTTTTCAGTCCAGACGGATGGTCAGATGAAGGATGCCATGTTGTGAGATCGGAGAGCAGCTCAGTACAAACAGAATGCAGCTGCAATCATATGACTCATTTCGCTGTTTTAGTCGGCTATGGTGATAACCTAGAGGTAATAATAAGAGTAGGCAACATTAAACTCTTACTGACAAAATGTCAATTAATCGGAGTGTATTATGCCATTACATTAAGAAATGTTGTGAATACAAGTTAATTTGAGTTGGAAAATGATCAAAACTTCGAAGTTTTCAAGTTACTCTCTTTGCAGTTTTATAATTACTATAGCTTTTGAGTGTCTTTCAGTTTCCCAGATTTTCGCTTGACAACTAAATGTGCACGAATGCTAACCTAACCGTAACCTGACATAAAAGAAGAAAATAATATAGTCTGGGATAGTCCGTAAACAGGCTATCCTGGGTAGTAGCGACGTTAACAGGAGTGCAATTGGTGATAAAAAATAGTAACTTGACATGTTAACTCGAAGACCGACTCTTGATTTGCACAGATCTAATAAATTGCCAGACAATCAGGTAAAATAATCAGTGATTGAAAAATTCTTGTTTTTTCGCCTGTCTCTCCTTTGTACAGCAGATCACAAAAACAGATGAGAAGATATTGACGATTCTCACTTACATAGGGTTGGCTGTCTCCATCATAGGAATAATTCTCACGATAATCTCTTATGTTTATTTCACGTAAGTAATGAAAATACTTCATAGAAATCACTTGCTTTAAAAGATACTCATGATCAAATATGAAATTGGATTGTTGGTGAGAGACGGTGGATTTTATACGTTGGTAAAAACTATATAGTACATTTACAAAATGAATAAATTTCATGAATTTGAGTGTAAACCCTTGCATAAATTACAAGCTTTAGTTTCAGGTCTGCATTATGCTTAAAAAAGGTTTCGTTTGTTCGGATAAATTGAATGTTTCTTTATTAATTTTCCTTTTTAATTTGTTGTACAATATGCAGTTTACGTTTGCCGGTTTTATGTCATGCTCTAAATCAGTGTCCTGGTTTGGTGATTTCAAACAATATTTTCTATTTTAATACCTTTTTGTGTAATTTAATTATTTTACCCATCTTTTATTTATTTTATTTTGTTTTGTTTCTCTATTGTACCAGCGATGTACATCAGCCTCTCTCTCAAATCAGGATTAGTCTTGCTAGTTCTCTCGGAGCAGGACAAGTAATCTTTCTTGCAGGAATTAATGCCACAGGAAACACGGTAAGGGAACTTTAATCCCATTTGTTGTAGCTTTTAATTTAGCCATATTTAGGGCCAAGAATACAAAAGCAGAAACAGGCACAACGTAGGATGATTTTTTAACGTGTACAATATTTTGGCTGGCCAAACCAGCCTTCTTCAGGTACAATGAGAATTTCACATTGGGACGTGTTTTTATGTAGTATAATGAATAAGTTGCCAGTAATCGGATACCCGTGTTTGCGCGAAGAACTCTGGGATCGTCAGGGGGCAAACATTGCTAGTCGCTGAAACGAAGTGTATGGCGAAAAGTTGTTTCGAGGTACAAGAAAACGATTTTTGAGAGGGATCAACGCTTTTTCGCCGTCGTTTT